GATGATCAGAGGGATGGAGCACCTCTCCTGTGAAGACAGGCTGAGAGAGTTGGGGTTGTTCAGCTTGGAGAAGAGAAGGCTCTGGGGAGACCTCATAGGAGCCTTCCAGTTCTTAAAAGGGGTGTACAAGAAAGCTGGGGAGGAACTTTGTACAGGGGCATGGAGCGATAGCACAAGGGGCAATGGCTTTAAACTGGAAGAGGGAAGATTTAGGTTAGATACAAGGAAGAAATTCTTCATTGTGAGGGTGGTGAGGCACTGGAACAGGTTGCCCAGAGAAGTTGTGGATGCCCCATGCCCAGAAGGGATGTGTTCAAGGTCAGGTTGGATGGGGCTTTGAGCAACCTGGTCTAGTGGAAGGTGTCCCTGCCCATGGCAGATGGGGTTGGAACTAGATGATATTTAAGGTCCCTTCCAACCCAACCATTTTACGATTTTATGATGACCCTCAAGCCATATTCAGTTACCTGTGCAACTGTGTGATGCAGTTGCTGGAAGTAACAGGAAAGCATAGCAGGACTAGCCACAGTTCCTCAAGCTGTGGCTCAAACCCAGAGTTCCTCCCGTTTCAGTACATATTTCCAACACCTTAAAAATCTTGCTTAACCTTATTGCATCATTTTAAACCCAGTGATAATAAGCAGGTGCAAACACTTGCCACAAGTTGTTATGTTGGTTGTGAAACAGCAGACTGTTCAGGTGTACATGGCTGAAATTTTTGTGATTCTAGCATAAGCCTGCTAGACATTAATAACTCAGGTGTAGCTCCATAAAAAACTGTGTATGTCTCTAACCAGAGAAAGTAAGACCTGTTCAATCCAACTTCAGCAATCTCCTAAAAACTGTGAGAGCAGGGCACAACCCAAATCTACATTTTTCCCAGTACTCCAAAAATAAACCACCACACCAAACCACACACCACTACTCAACACAAATGTAAATAGGGATTTCAAGTGCAGCAAATAATTCCACCATTATTGGCTAATATCCTGCATAGCACATCAAATCCCTGACTGTGTGAGAAAAGTGCTGTAGATGTTGGTCATGGGATATCAAAAGCAAAAGCACTGTGCTGCATGATCAAACTGACCTTCAACCAGCCCAGGATCTGAACAGCAGTAAGATGTTCTAGAATTCTGCCTTCCATCTACATAAGAAATAACAGACATCGGCTATAAAAATAATGATTACTGCTTATACCATTACAACACTAATTAACCCATGATTTGTTCAGATTCATTAGCAATGCAAAAGGTTGGGCTGTAACTCATTTGTAAAATATTATTAATCCCTGCACTACACATTGTTAAATGGTGTCTTCATTGCCAGGATACCTTCACTGCAATGTAAAGGCACCTGTAAGTTGCATGTTAAATCTATTTCTCACAAAAAAACAGATTATAGCACAACAGTACAGTAACAGTATTACATAAACTGTCTTCCCTCTATTCAGTAAAATTATTCTCTCATGATAATCCATGCATGAAGGCAGAATATTAACAGAGCAATGAAAGACTTTCATGATGAGACTGCAACTAGCTTATGCTACCAAAAAAACACAGCTTAGAGTTGATCAGAATATACAGAAATAGTTATACTCCTGATTTTCAGAGCTTCTAGATACATCCACTTTTTATCCATCTTTAAAGTTATTGAGTTTGACTCAGTTGAACTAATGATACTCCCTCATGCTATAGACTGTTCACCTTAGCCAAGTAAGCTTGACTTAGCTGCACTGTCATCTCCTTTTCTGTAAAACAGACTTCCTCCCGGAGTTCAGTCTCTGTTACAGGTCAGGATCTTTCAACGATCACATCCAGTGGAAAACATTTTCAGAAACTCTCACAAATTACTGGATGCAGCAGAGAATATAGATCTGAAAAAAGAATAGCTTAGAAAAATCAGGAGCCACATTGCAGCCCAAGACATGTTGAGTACTTGTTAGTATTTTAAAATACCTAGCTTAAAAAAAAAAAATCTTCTTTACCTATACCACCATCTTGCCAGCCACTTAAGGCTGTAATCCAGTCATCAACACAGACTTCCCTGTAGGCTTTCCTATCTGTGCTGAATATTAACTCTCTCACCACCTGTAACATTCACACATACAAGTTTTTCCCACCCACTGTTCTGATCACTTCTTGTTTTTCTTTTAATTCTTCCACTGCCTCTGACAACAAGTACAAGCTATTCTCTTAATTTCAAGTATCTTTTGTTACTCTATCTGTACCACAATGTGACATTTAAGTTTCCAGCAGAGACACAGGAAACCACTTTAGGGAAGGTGAAATGTATATATGATGTTCCATCCACAAAACACATCATTAGCACAAAATTTCACAGAAGTGGGATCTACATGAACTTCCTCCATACTCCCGGCAAATCAACAAGTAAGATACACACGTACTGATTTGGCATTTGAGGTATTGAACTGTGAACATTTTAAACCAACTCAAGTGATCTTCTTTGGTCATATATGTTAGATATGCACTACCACGTGAAATTATGTGAAATTCTAACTGGGAACATTTCTTAAGAGACACAACCTCAAACTCACAAGATTTAAAAAAAAAATCCAACCTGTAATAATTCTAGAGCTTTAAAAACAGTGTTATTATAAAACCATAGTAGGGAACTTTTTATTTTTATATACACACCACACTAGCTTAATAAAATACAGTTTCACCATCTTCCAAAAGTATTTTAATTGTTATTTTAATCAGAATATACTAATTTTAAACCACAGCAAAGCTCTTGAAGCATGAGATTAACAATTATGAAGATACTTCTAAAAATACGTTACAAAAATTAAGACAAAAAATCTCACCAGTACCCACTACTGCATTGGAGTCAAGCTGTTACAAAGCTTGATGTGACAGAAACAGAACATTCCCTTAGCTTTTTAAAAATAAAAAGCTCAAACAAACCTTTGTTTCAATAGAAATGCAGGCATCTGTTTTCGTTTCTCCATTGTCCAAGATATTTGGAATGGAGATACGAAGCCATTTTCCTTGAGCAAGACTACTGATGTGAATCCGTAATGGCATAATTACAGTATGGTTACTTCGAAGCTCAAGTTAAGGAGAAATATCAACACAACTCTTTCGTTTCTAGTAGTTAATGACAGAGTAGGAAGACCATAACCAAACTCCATACTAAGAGAAAATAATCAAAGCGCTGAGTCTAGGACTGAGCATTTAAGTGTTAGACATGAACACTACTATAAAATTCCAACAAGACAACTACTTCCACTTAGAATCTGCTATAATCAAGAACACATTTTGATCATATCTTGATCCTCCGTTACAGTTTGGGGATGCAGAGATACGCCAGTATTCCTGATCAGGAGTGTACCTAGCACCTAGGCTTCCACAGACTTGTCACATGGCAGCTTATCACTGGATTAGCATGATTTTGCATTTCAAAGAAACTGTTTTAGCAAAGATCTTATTTTTTAAGCACCAAATATGTCTCTTAGTGGGGAAAAGGTTAATACTGTCCAGATCATCTAAGCAAGATACGAAGTCATTTCATGAGAGAGAAACCAACATGAAACATCTCATAAGCAAGAGCTACAGTGACTTGAAATTAAGTATTTCTGAGGACTTACATATCTGAATCACAGAACAGTCAACATACTTACTGATTTCTCAAAAAAATCATCACGCATTTATTCACTCAATAAGTCACAGGAAGTGTGGTAAACAACTCTATAGAATTTGGTTTTCACCTTTTACAGGGCAATTAGCTTAAAGTCACCATCCTCATTTCAAAACTCAAATTTGCATAGTTTAGTTTTTCTACCTTATTGCCACAATGTAACGAAGGCACTTTTTTATTTTAATTAATTCAATGCTAAAAGTATGATCTACTGATAAAGTACTGGCAAACTGAGAGAAGTAACCTGAAATTGTTACTCTAAGTTCTTGCACCTGACTTCAGCCATGTTATGCTGACATCAGACTGCTGTCTTACCTCAAATGACAGGAGTTGCAGGGTTTGAACAAGTTCCTCCACTGTTTCCCAACAGCAATGACTTGCACCACAACAAACATGCTTGGCAAGTCAGACACAGCCCCACCTTTTCCCAGGCACAAGGAGAACTTTGTTCTGGCTATAGCAAAGTTTTACCCTGCATTTTATCCTGCACAAGTCAGGATGAATTTCCACTCCCAGAAGTATTTGTTGCAGAGACAACCTTAGGAGGCTGGCAGTTAGGTGCTCTTCTAACCGAGCTTAGCTTGTGTTATGGAAGCAATTCAATCTATCATTAACACCAAAGACTCCATGAAAGCTCCAGCTATGCAAAGGTCAGACTGGAATTTTAAAAATCTTCCCTGTGCCCAAAAAACAAGCTCCTTTTTTATCTCTGGAACATACAAAATCAACAGAAGGAATATATTGCTGAAACATTCAAATATAATTATTAGTTAATAGATGTGAAGATGCTATCTACTTAAGAGCCATTATCAATTCCACTAAGGCTTTTTCCCCTTCCTATATTTCATTCCCCCACATCACTGACATTTTCAGAGAGGTAAAATTAAAACAGTGGGAAAGTACTATTTAACTCATTAAATAGTTACACCCTAGAAATACCTATTAAACACTCCTTGAAGATAAAAATTTACCATTAGTACTTAGCTCCCCAAGATGCCAACAGCTTGCCACTGTTCTTCAAGGCCAAGCAAAGTTCTCTCTCAACGTGCACATATTATGTCATATTAAGCCACCAATAATTATTTCTAGAATACAAATCTATTTCTTAAATTCAGTAGATTACAAAGTGACTTACAGCACATGTAGCTCTGACTTGCAAATACTGGGAATTCACCGATTAAACATGAAACGCTCCATTATGCACAGAAAAATTTTTAGAAGACAGTTTTCTAACAGCAAAAAGAAGATGCTCTGCAGAAAAGCAAGACCTTTTATGATTAATATTTATGGCCAATTTTTTCCCCTGCTTTTCTGACAAGAAGCCACACCAGAAAGTTTCTTTTATATTTTTATTGTATGTCAAAATTCATTAAAGATGGGGTGTTGCTTGTATACAAGTTACTCAAAAATGGTGTCTAGGCAGAGATTCATTAGCAATCTGACTTATTTCAAAGCATAGATTTTTTTCAATCAGGCCACAAAAATAATATTGTGTACAAGCAGTAACTAAAGAGCTGCAGGTTCAAGGACTTTCCAAATATCATAGATCCTGAGATCTCATTAGGAAATAAAATAAAAGCTGTCAAAATATAAAATAGCAGCTCCATGTAGCTTTTTCAAGTTTCAACTTTATTCAGAAAGTAACACTTAGTTCAGTTTGCCTCATTCTTTGAAGCTTCATCGAAGTTTTCAACAAGATCTAGAAAAAGAAGAATGTTGAAATTAAAGCTTGACCCACTTCTGCTTTGCCAAACATTTTGGTTTTGGGGTTTTTTCTGAAGTTTTACTTCATACCAAGTGCTTACAACGTAGAAAACTTTCAGCTTATAAAATACAGATCAAATAACTTTTAAGAGCTTCACAGTTCATTCTTCTTTCTCAACCAAGTAAATTTTGGATGGTTCGTTATAAAGCACAATTCTACGAGCATTTAACTTCACTATATCCACAACTTGCCAAAGTGACACTGAAGAGGTAGTTTCTTCCCACCCTTCTTATTGAATATTAAATAATTATCTTAGCCATAGCTATTACTTCTACACAGGACAAAAATGTTAGCTCAAACCAGTAGATCTCTCATGGTATTCAAAAACTATTAAATAATCTGCCCACAGAAATTCTGTGACAGCAAGTGACTAGTCAATACTCTTACCATCCTTGGCCCAATTCTACGCTATGCATGTTATCTCGCCACAAAATTCACTTCCTCTTCCTCCACTGCATGCTTGTTCTTACCTGGAACTTCATCATCATCATCTTCACCAGTAGCAAGTGGTGCTTTTCCATCCACAGCTGCAAGAGCAAGTAGTTCAAAAGCATCAGTCAAGTTCACCATAGGCATCTTGATTAATTGTTCTGCTTTATGTTGTCTGAAAACATTATCAAAGATCCCGAGCTAAACTGCAATGCTTTATCCAGTTCCCATGACAAATAAAAATCTTCAACTAACCTAGAAAGTTCACATTCCCTTTGTTACTGATAATGCTCAAATAGCCCAGCAGGGAAATGAAAAGATGCATGCTAAACCAGCTTACTAGTCCCCATCTTGTATCTAGGTATACTGAATGCCTTCCATGGTAATCATTTTCAACTACAGTGTAGAGACTGATTTTACCAATTTCTCTTAAGAGCAGCTTGGTGTATTGACTACTCTGTGTTTCACAAGGTTTAAGTATTTTACATCATCAAGTCTTAAGGAAAGAAAGGACCTTTTAATCCTAGGCCTTCAAGGAAAACTGAGGTGCAATTGTGAAGCTGCAGGCAGATGCACATGACTAGGGGTAAAGGTATTCTTGTGTCCTGGCAAAGTCAGAGGAATATGGAACTGGATGCACAATTTTACACTTTGGTGGATGAGGTAACCACATGTTCTCGTCCACATCTCTGTTGACTCAGGAATTTCTTAACCATTCCCACTGTATTTACCAGACCTACTGAGACTTAACCATGTCCATTGTAGCAGACCAATAAGCATCTGTTGAACTGCAGCAGTGTAATGCTAAGAATAGGTATCTCAGGTCCCTGGGTGCCTGTGCCACTACTTTTACTGCTATTCTTAGTTGTACTACCAAGGGCAATCTGTCTCATACTCTCTATCACCTCAGTTTTATCCTAATTAGCATGAAAAGCATGAAGAAAGAGACGGCTTCATATTAGACTTGCACCCTGATTTCTAGAGAACCAAAACAGATAAATGCATAAACTTTGACCTGAAAGGGCCTGGGACAAGGTCATTGCAAACCCTCCTTTTGTTTTTTTAAGAGCAGAAAGCTGTTACAGCTTAAATGCATCTTACTGTCAAATAGGACGTTTTAAAAGCAAACCGTGTTATCTCCTCCTAAATTGTCTGCATTCTCTTTCATCTGCAAGACCAGACTGAGTTTACTTTAGCACCTGCAAATGCAATCACCACAGACACTTCACTCTTTGATGTCAGGCTTCCAAATCTAGCAGACAATGCTGAACGGAAAGTTTTGTGCAACTACTTTGGCATCCACCCAAAGTGGAAAGGAATAGCGATTTACTAGGTCATACAAAGCAAACTTTAAACAAGCTTCCCTAATATTAAAACTGCACAATTTAGCTTATCCAGAATATACCCACCTTCTATGAGAACAGAGATCTTTGGGGATCATTTTAAATCCTTCAAGATTTCTTTTTTCTTTCAAGCCCTGCTACTACCACAAGGAAGCCACACAGGTGACATGAGGAAGGAAGGACCTGAGCACCATGGGAAAAGAAGTTTACCCCACCTCTTGAAGACTACTTCTAGCAGGATTTTTTCAGTGCAAAGTTGACAGGAGGGAAGCATCATGAACTTTAGGAATGGAAACAGAGGCTATCTTGTTGGCAGCAAAACACAGGAAGAAGAAAACGTAACAATCACGTTCAGAACTACCAGAAACTGGACACAACGATACACTTCTCCAATTTTCTCTGTGTTTAGGATGTTCCATACTTTGGAAAGAATGGGCTTAAAATACTTCAGAAAAGTAGGAACACTGGAATGCAGGACACGAGGAATGTTCCCATGTCAACAAGCCTGTCTTTCACTCATTCTCACCCTGTAGCGGCAGTACCTTTTCCAAACACCACATACTTAAGTCCCTCCTCTACTTTTCCCACACAGTTTTAGGAAGAACAAATGTTCATGTTCTTTTACTAATTCAAGGATGGAATAGGAAGTTGGCGTATTTAGCGTAATGCTCGTGACAGTCCTGTTCTCTACACCGTTATACACACACCAAAATTGTAACATACTTCCTCACAAGAACTGTGTCATTCCCTCCTAGCTACCAAAAAGCCTATGCAAGAAATATCTTCACCACACCTCTAGGGCAGCAAAGCAGTTGCAAGATGTCTGCCCTCAAGTCCCTTTCTCCATTACTTATGTTTCCATTCAAAGAGTTAAAACATACTCAAAGTTTATCTTTTTTTAAAACCTAACTCTTCCAGAGTAACTCATCTAACTAGCTTTACTAAATGATATATGTCAAAATACGGTAGCCACTTCAACAAGTAAACTACTACAAAATCAAGTCTAGCTACAGCTTTCCAGTCCCAGACCAGCTGCAAGATAATGCTAACAGGTGCCTCTGCTTTATGCAGTTATACTCATCATTGGATTTGAGCTATAAATAAGATCTAAGAGTATCATTTCTTTATAAGCATTTTATAAGATGCTTGCACACAGCAAGAATGCACTGAATTTCACTGCTGCTATATAAATAAGCCTCATGTCAGCTGCCAGCATGAGATGCATTCAAGTTTCCACTTACGTTGCTTGGGTAAGGCTTCTGCCAATCTCCTCAGGCTGGTCAGACTGTCAGCTCCGAGCTGGTTTAAGATGCTAGGAAGCATTTCTGTCAGCTGCTTTGTCTCAGCATGGCCAGTGATAGTGAAAGTGTTAGCAGCCAGAGATGCCTGAACTTTAGGGTTATTGAAGTGAATGACTGTTCCTTGGTTGGTAAACATGTTTACCTGTAACAAAAAAACCCAGTATTTGAAGCAGTTTAACAAGATTCTTCAGTTTAACAGGAAATTGAAGTTCTTGAAGCTCAATAAACACCTACTGATAATTTACAAATTTAGGATGCTACTTACCAGGAAATTTATTTTGATACATTTTCTATTTCTATATAGAAAAGTATTTTTTCCTTTGAAGCAATTACCTCTTCAATTCCAGAAATATTGTTGACCCCCAGTTTCTTCAATGAAAACTGAAGTTTCTTGTCATCTGCTGTAGCTGTTCTGTGGACAACCTTCTTCTTTCTGCGGGCAGTACCCTTTGCAAAAAAAAAAAGTTACAAATTAATACTTAAGTAGTTCTTCACAAACTGTAATCCTCAGGGCCACATAACTACTCTGCAGTCATCTACAAATCAACTTAACTGCCGTGGTTTAGCCCCAGTCAGCAACTAAGCACCACATAGCCACTCGCTCACTCTTCCCCCCTCTCAGTGGGTGTGGAGAATCAGAAAAAAAGTAAAACTCGTAGGCTGAGATTAGAACAGTTTAATAAGTAAAACAAAATACAATACTAACAATAATAATAATAATACAGTAATAGTAATAATAATGAAGAAAAGGAATATAACAAAAAAAACCCAAACAAACCCAAGAAAAGACAAGTGATGCACAACACAGTTGCTCACCACCCACTGACAGATGCCCGAACAGCAAACTGCGCCTCCCAACCAACTTCCCCCAGTTTATATACTGAACAGGACATTCTATGGTATGGAATATCCCTTTGGCTAGTTCGAGTCAGCTGTCCTGGCCATGCTCCCTCCCAGCTTCTTGTGCACCTGCTTGCTGGCAGGGTGCGAGAAACCAAAAAATCCCTGCCTTAGGGCAAGCACTACTTCACAACAACTAAAACATCAGTGTGTTACCAACATTATTCTCACACTGAATCCAAAACACACTATATCAGCTACTGAGCAGAAAATTAACTCTATCCCAGCTGAAACCAGTACATCAACATACAAAGTTCTACTTCTGTGTTACAGTGCACGCAACCCCACCCCTCCAACTGCACTGCAGCAGTCCCTCCCTTCCTATAAGGCAAGCTTTACATGTCTGTGAGAAGCATGAGGTTTTAGGAAGGAATGCACCAGAGAATGTTTATTCCACAATTCCTACAGGGATTCTGCAGCATCTTAGAAAGAAAAATTGCAAGTTTACCCTTGTCTGTTATCATAAGCATAGAACCGAAGAATGATCACAGTTTTAGGTAATTTCTGAAGCTTATGAATTTTTCCTTAGATCATCTTGCTTCAATTGAAGCCAGATTTGGCAATAGTCAGAGGTCATAAAGTTATTAACATATCATTAACAAATGAATATGAGCAAACTCAAAATAGTTTTCATTCCAAACGGACATCTCCCATCTGATGGACTTACATATTTGAAGAACACTTACTTTGCCAAAATATTTTATAAATATGTTTTTTAAAAATACTTCTACATAGTATTCCAAACCTCTCCTGTTTATAAAGCAAAACAAGCAAAAGTTAAGTTCCCCTACAGACACAGAGCTCTAGATTTCTCCAGAGAAATAACTGTCCCATATTAGAAGGTATTGACACCTACAAAAAAAGCAGGAAGTGTCACTCTATACATCCTTGCACAATCATAAGGCTTCAGTAAAATCTGACATAAAATATCTATGAATAGGTGAAACTAAGTTCCTTTTTGACACACTATAACTACTAATCTAAGTCCTCCTACTCCAGTTAACCATCTGCCACAGGCCAGCAATAAGAGAATGAGTTGCTGCCTGGCTGTATAAACAGCTGCAATACCTTTTGAGTTAACTGGCAGGAGTTAGAAAACTGGACACTAACACCTCTAACATAATCCAGTTACAAACAATGAGGAATGACAAATTCACATGAAACTAACACTTGGAAGACTACAGCTCAAAAGTTTATTTGTCTATAGTAATTTGTCTATAAAGCTTGATATTCATTCCCTGCTACTGTCAGGTTAGCACATACAGCGATTTGAAAACTGCTAAAATACTAGAAATGGCTTTATTTTAGTACCTTGCCTACCCAGGAATTGAGTCACATAAAGCATAAGTTAAGTCTCTCTGGACAAAAGACCTCTCAATAAATTATAAAAAAAGATGTCTTGAATCAAAAGCTATGTAGGAACAAGTACATCCTTTTTACCCATACTAAACAGACATCAAATTTCAGACAATTCAATTTAATTTAAATGAACAGCTGCTCCTTTCACCTCCACAGTTTTTACTAAGCAAATTCTATCCTGATCATGCTGAGACATGCTGTACACATCCCTCTACCTTTATAATAAAGAGGAGAGGGTAGAGCAAGCCACTAATGAAATACTATGGTCTCATCTGCCACTCCTCTAAAAGGTTTGGATGAAGAGCCATGACATTTAGCTGTAGCTATATTCTACAGAAAAATCTCAAATTTCACACAACAAAGTGCTACAATAGCCCTGCATCTAAACATCATATTTGGCTTATTTGTAAGATCTGCAGCCTTGAAACATCATTAAAATTGCCAGCAGAGGCAATATGCAACTTTTTCTCACAAGGAGAAGTGACCCTTCCCCCTTTGCCTCCTCCACATCCATCTCGACTTATATGGTGACAATGCCATGAAGAATCCCAGTAATAATTTCCATTTATAAAACAAATTTTAAGTCAAGTTCAGGCATTCAAAGTATTTCAGAGGCCAATTTTAAAACTGAGTGATGGAACCACCAGCATATTCTAAGCTTTGCTAACGTCTCCAAAAGACCTATACTGACCAGAGAGCTGCAAGAGTTGTAACCTGAATGCATGCTCTTACATGACAAATATTAAAAGCCTCTATAGTCAATAAACATAAGCTGGTAACATGCACACAATCATCAATATAATATAGCAGTTCTCTGCTTAAGCCATACAAAGAACACAGAAAATCATCAAGCTAGTAAATTACTACATTAATGCCAATTTAAGGTTGCCTAAATCTCCAACTAAAGGCAAAAAAAATTCAACACAAGAATGAAAGCTCCTGGAATCTCTGTCAGCAAGGGTTCTGTTGAACAGTTTGTATTCTAAAATATTGTGTGTACACTTTGTCAAGTATAAAAAAATTACTAACAAATTCTTGCCTTACTAGTGACACTGTAATTAAAACGTTTACTACTATACAACTACACTAAACATACTTTTTTATTTTCAGATTATAAGTAATCACACAGCTACATATATTCAGATGTAACAAAATAAAAAGGTCTTCTGAGCATGTTAGTCTATAATTATGAGAGTATGACAAGTACAGAATTTCCAACTTTGTTCTAGAAGGCAAAGAAACAGCCATGGGCATCTTAAAGATTTCTGATGAGTTTGGAACATAACCCTCTATAATCTGATAACTATACCCGAGGCCATTTGCTGTAAGGTCCGCTCAGCTCAAATCCTACATGCCTTCTAAAATAGCCCATACCAGAACATAGCCTGCAAGTCTGCTGTAATGTATTATAACAAACCTAAGGAGAAAAGGCTGGAGGTTCAGCTACTACATACTGCTTCTACAGAACTGACTCTAGAGATCCCTGCAGCAGCTCAGCTTCCTCTGAGGATTGGTAAGCCAAGCTGAGAGTACTTAAGGCTGCGGCCCACCCCCGCTTTCAGGACCCCTCGTGCTAGGCCTGCTGTGCACGTATGCAATCCCGAGGGCAGGGTGGGGAGGCGGCTCCTACCTTGCCACCGATGCGCACTTGGGCCTGCAGCTTGGCGAGCTTCTCTTGGTTCATGATTGTTTCTTTCATCTGTGGAAGCAACAAGAGCCCACGGAAGGCCAGTCAGGAGACGCCCGGCGGCGGGCC